TATTCATGCAGGTTGGTTGGGATGAATCAACAGCTGGGGAAAGGCAGCCAAGAGTTTCCTTGTGGGAGATCGAACCGTTGACAACATTTCCTATGTATCCATCTCCATTTCCTTTAAGGCTTAAGCGACAATGGCCACCAGGATTACCTTCTTACGGTATGCTAGTCTGCTGCTAAATCCATGGCTTTTCAGCTTCAACTACTTGTTTTATTTCTCTTACCCTCTCTTATGTTGAATTTGACTTTTAAATAGCTTATAGCTTTTATTCCTATGTAATACTTTTGACATTTTTAGATATTTTTTTAATTCGACTCTCTTGCTCTTAGGTTTCAAGGATGATAGTTTAGGCATGAATTCTCCATTTATGTTGCTACAAGGAGACGCAGGTCGAGGAATGCAGTCTCTGAACTTTCAGGGGATTGGAGTTACACCATGGATGCAGCCAAGGTTGGATGTTGCTTCCTTGTTGGGTTTGCAGACCGACATGCACCAAGCTATGGCTGCTGCTGCACTGCAAGACATGAGAGCTGTGGATCCTTCCAAAGCAGCAACCACTACCCTTCTGCAATTCCAGCAACCCGAAAATCTATCCTGCAGGCCTGCTGCTTTAATGCAACCCCAGATGTTGCAGCACTCTCAGCCGCAGGCCTTTCTTCTGGGTGTTGAAGACAACCAACATCAGTCTCAATCTCAGACTGAGGCTCAAACACAGCCACATCGTGTTCAGCAACAATTGCAGCAGCAGAATTCATTCAATAACCCTCAACACCAACAGCAGTTGCAGCAGCAGCAGCAACTGGTTGACCAACAGCATATTTCTAGTGCAGTGTTTGCTATGTCACAGTATGCTTCGGTCTCTCAGTCCCAGTCATCACCTTTCCAAGCCATACCTTCACTATGCCATCAACAGAATTTTTCTGATTCAAATGGGCACACCGTGACCAACTCTATTATTTCTCCTTTCCGTAGTCTTTTGGGTTCTTTTCCCCAGAATGAGTCATCCAATTTGCTCAACTTGCCTAGATACAACCCCGTAATAACTTCTGTTGCACGGCCATCGAAGCGGGCTGCTGTTGAAGTTCTCTCATCTTGGTCTCCACAATGCATTCTGCCCCAGGTGGAACAGTTGGGGCCTATCAAGACCAACATTTCTCATAATCCTATTTCCTTGCCACCCTTTCCTGGCAGGGAGTGCTTGATAGACCAAGAAGGGGGTACCAATCCACAGAGCCATCTCTTATTTGGTGTTAATATAGAGCCTTCATCACTTCTGTTGCAACATGGGATGTCAAGCCTTAGGGGAGTTGGCAGCGATAGTGACTCGACTACTATACCCTTCTCTTCTAATTATACGAGTACTGCAGGCACTGATTTTTCAGTTAATCCAGCAATGGCACCTTCTAGTTGCATTAATGAATTGGGATTCTTGCAGTCTCCAGAGAATGTGGGCCAAGAGAACCCACAAAGTAAAACCTTTGTTAAGGTCAGTTGCCTTCTTATCTAGATTAATTAATTTGGCTGGTGTTATGAGTTCCATTTGGCTTGTGAATTTGGCTCTTTCACAGTTGCAAGTTTGATTTGTTGGCAGTTTTATAGCCTTCATTTTTCATACTAAATTATTTCGATACTTTGTAACTGATGTGAATACTTCTATTGCGGAACAGGTTTATAAATCAGGGTCCTTCGGGAGGTCATTGGATATCTCCAAATTTAGCAGCTACAATGAGCTGCGTAGTGAACTCGCACACATGTTTGGCCTTGAAGGCCAGTTGGAGGACACTTTGAGATCAGGCTGGCAGCTTGTATTTGTCGATCGGGAGAATGACGTTCTTCTCCTTGGTGATGACCCTTGGCCGTAAGTTTCTATTATCCTATTGCATGCATATAGTTGTGTATCAAAATACTTCTAACATCGATGCACATCTAAGGATAGCACATCTGTGAAAACTTGGTGGGGGTAAATTGAAGCCTTTTTATGAACAAAAAATAATGAAACCTTTTGAATGCATGCATTTAAATCTATTTTGCGTTTTCCACATGCTATGTTCTTTGCTAATTCCAAACTTTACTTTCCATTTCGTTTACCCCAGGGAGTTTGTGAACAGTGTGTGGTGCATCAAGATACTTTCACCGCAAGAAGTTCAGCAAATGGGCAAGCGAGACCTGGAGCTTCTTAACTCTGTTCCAGTTCAAAGGCTCTCAAATGGCAGTTGTGATGACTTTGTGAGCTAGCAGGACTTAAGAAATATGAACTCCGGTATCGCTACCGTGGGGTCCTTGGACTACTGAACGATTTTACCTGTTAAGATGATGTTATTCTCCTGTAATGTTAGTGCCTCTTGCTAACCTTTTATAGGTTAAAAGAGCTGACTAACACTAGCTTGAACTATTATATATTCGTATAAGCAAATACTGTAACTAAGAGATCTACGTCGCCTATGTTATGGAAAAATGTAAAATTCATATTTATTAGCACATCATCATCAATATTAATGAAGTAAGCTTTAGGTTTTTCTCTTACAGATTCTTGAACAGTTAACTTATTATATGAGGTAAAAATTACTGCACAAATGACAAGAAGCTCGAAGCTTCCCAAGTCTTGAAACTATTTTTATCTGGTATAAAAATGGGTCCCTATAGAAATTAGGTCTGGAAAATCAACCATTTCTGTTTTGCTTTGGTATGAACATGGCCCAGTTTTGTTCATTTATTCCAACTTTTGGAAAGTGAACATTAACCCTACTTTCACTATCATCATCGGCTGGCTCTCGACTTAAGCCGAGGGGTTGTCAAAATCCAACCTATCTGATGAAAGTGAGATACTGGTAGTCTTTCGAACATATCCTGGGAGTTTAAAAAGGTCAGTGTCGGGGGGTTTGTTCGAATGGCTAATAAATGATGCTGCTTGGGAAAACGTTAGATGATTCCATTGCCGTTCATCTCGACGACACAATGATTATTTCATAACTATCTTTGAAATGGTGTTTTAAATCAAACTGAAAAGATTCTGAAGGCCAATGGGACATACAAAAATCATCTCCCCCGGATGTAAAACATCGTATCTACGACACGTTTTTATGCCTTCGTAGACTTATTAAAAGGAAGCTGATAAGAACAACACTGTCTCGTCAAATAGCGACTGAACTCTTACAGGTTATAGTGAAAAGTTCCGAGTCACTTATTCTTATCTCTGTTCCACCTGAGATTTTAGACAAAAATGAAACTACAGGAGGCAATCACATGCATCAGATGAAATGGAAGGTTTGCAATAATTCCTTAGCCTAACTGATGGGACAGGGTCGATGTTGGTCGACCTGACATGTGAGCCATGTTTCCACATCCAATTTTCAAGGGAATTTATGCCACATCCTCATTTCCACTTGAGAATAGAGCAGAATAAATTTAAAAGAGAATTCTAGTGTTTAGCACAATTCGATTATGCAGTCATTTTTAAGGGATCCATGCTCAACGAACTTAAAGGATCGAATCAAAAGATTGTATACAGTCTCTCTATCCATAAACTACACCCCAAAAAGAGGGGATAAAAAGTTATCAGTTGAGGTCTATTTTTTCTACGGGACGTGGGACTGGATGGCCACAATATAAAGTTGGAAATTAAGGGTTAGTTTTGTGCTTTTGTGGCTACATGTTGTGGGGGCATTTCACTTAGATGGATAGCACTCAAATGCTTGGGGGGTGGAAATGGTGACAAAAAGGGTAGGGCACCCATCAACAATAATAGCCCCATTTCAAAATTAGAGGGTTTCCATCAACATCCTCTCATAGCCCTTTATGTTAACAAGTGGGGGATGACTGAAAAAGGATGTACTTTTTGCCTTTTAACTTGCACCTCATCAATGGCTTTTGCTTGAGAGACCTTGTGTTCTCTGCAAAAAAACAAGTAATAATATGGGCAAAGAAGGCACGTTCAAACTTGTTCTAGTAAAATGTGTGTCATTGCCAAAGTACTGGAAGATTTCATTTAAGTGTGAGAGATTTGGCAACGGTGAAGGAGAGTGATTTTGTCAGTGTTTTGGACAGTTAATGTCCATGACTGTGGGGAAGTTTGAAGATATTGTTTTGATAAACATAAATCTTGTGGATTAGATCTTTGTACGTACACAAGCCGTTTGGTTACTTTCAGCAACATTCATGAAAAGAAATGCATGGAACAAATACAAAAACCAAAAGTCATCCAACTTGATGATGTACAGAGCCACTGATCCTAAAAATTTATTCTTGGTACAAACCAAGGCCATGGATCAGAAAATTGCTTGGCAATTGGTCCGGTTTCTAATGGCGTGAAACAGAACAATTGCAGTATTTGGGTAGGACTAGTTGGACACGGAAACTTGAAACCCTCAAAAGACTACTGAAAATAGTATAGAAAACCAACCAGATCAGAAAGCAGATATTGATGTATAGATTTAATCCTTTACATGTGGCCCGAAAGTGGGAAAAGAGACTTGAACAAGGGAAAAGAAACTTGAACAAGCTCAATATGTACACCAAAGCCGAAGCCAAACGAGACAATTACAGATGTTCATGCATTACTATGAACCATAGGTCTATCCTCCACCAAGGAAATTTTCAAGCCATGTGGATTCGTCCAGGAGTCCAAATTATTTTACACCCCAACTACTGGTATTGAACAAGTCTTCATGGATACAGGCCGATCCCAACTTAGAATGTAAAGTATATGCAGTTGTAGTAAGATTTTCTTTTTTCAAATTCAAATTCTAGTTTTTGAAATGTTGTTACAAACTAGAAGAAATAGGATGCTAGATTCATTATATTTTAAATTATTTTTAGTTACAATTTGTATAAATTCAATATTTCTATTATATGTATTGTTCATTACCCATAAACTTAATGAAAATGATACTTCTATTATTGGTGAATAGTTGTTACTATCCATAATGTATCATTACCTAAAAGGAAGTGAAAATGATTTTCTAGAAAAGATTATTACCTTCAAGGATAAATATATGCATGATTTCAATTGTGTTGGAATTAACATTAATTTCACCAATTGCACTATTCATTTCATCTTCCCATGTAAACAACACAAAAAATTTCAGGCCATTCTTTAAATACAACACTCCTCCATCACCAATCTGCTCAAAACAGGGTTACAAGAGGTTACTTGGCTCATCAAGTGTATGAGCATGCTTTGCTTTTATTGATTGTTTACTACTCCATATTATTATGACAACCAACCACAACACATGTAAGGAGATGATGGCATTCTTCCGGTTTGTCGAATATATTCTGCTTGAACAGCTGTTCTTTCTGCATCTTGGTTCTTTCTAGCTTCAGCTGCAGCTCGTTTTTCTTCTGATCTTCGCGTAGCCATAGCAATCTTCTTCACCATCTTTGCTTGAGCTTGGATTCTCGTTTGATCTACTTTGTCCTGAAAAGTAAAAGACATATATAGTTATTATCAATACTTGATGCTCGGCATATTACCACATAAATGATCCTCTGTCATGATTGCAGTCTTTCCCGACTCAAAATAATTTTTTTTTTAATTTGTAATGACAATTAACTCAACTGCATGATCTTAACCTAAAAAGAAGCCTATTTCAACTGTCTTTCATATTAATTTCAGGTCCAGGTTTACTCTTTTTCATTGAGCTCTAATACCATCAGTTTACATAAAAAAGATCGGTCATCTTTAAATGGTTACAATTAGAACTAATTTTGAGAATGTGATGAAATAAAAGATTTCAGATACCTCTATTCTCCGCATTTCTGCTTCTAGTTTTGCTCTCTGCTGCCTCTCCCATGCTTGAATTTTGATATCTTCATGCTTATACCTGAGAGATTGAGATATGCTTTCAGGAAAATAAATTGATGGGAAATTGTTTAACAAGCGTTAGAACTGCATAAATTTGCAAAGTATCGGTACATGTCAGGACCTTGCTGCATGCTTAGACTTTTCAGCTTCCTCCCATGCTGCTGCTCTTTTTTCATATTCGATCCGCTCAAGCTCCTCCGTACAAGTGGTATCACCTGAAAATGTATTGTCTTCCTTCTCGTCTTTGCTTGCCCAAGCAGCAATATTCATCTTGCCAAGTTGGACACCAAGGGCTACAATCTCTCTTCTTGTCTTGATCTTGGTTTCTTTATCAGACAATGCTTTCCTGCCATTTTGATGTGACTCGTCATCTATATTGCGGTCCAAAGGTGTCGATGTCGGTGTCCCTCTACGAGGAGTAGATGGGATTGAAGATGTTGGGCTTCGGAGCGGTGTTGTTGCCCCTACAGGTGTAGCGGTCCTCGAAGGCTCTTGACTTGCAACAGGGGTCATTTCTGTTCCCATGTCTCTCATACAAACTGATCTCATTGCAGGAATAGCTGCAAGGCCAAATCTTAAGGTATGGGATAAATAATAGATATCAAAAAGCAAAACTATGATCAATATATCCACTCAACAAAATGGAAAAAATATCTGAACACGGAGTAGATCCCTTATTTATACTCCCCACATGATGGTTTCGAGACTCATAAGAATTCAGCATATTCATATCATATGTAATTATAATGGCCTAACCCTCATTTCAATGCTCTTAATCACATTATAATGCAAGTGCTTGTTTTGGGGATCACATGATAATCAACCTGGATGCACAGTACATCGCTACAAATTTATATATTATTTCATACAGAAACTAATAAAAAAGCTGTATATGCAAATTTACCGGTTGTATCTTCTTCAGAGCTTTTTGTACAAGATAACTGAGCCACTTCCTTCAAATCCTTACTCTGAGAAAACTGATCACATAATAGGTTTCCTCCACATGATTGTGCTGAAATAGGATGAGCTCCAGAAGGAATGAAAGAGAACTTGTCAAAGGGTATCTGCACAGCGTGCTGATAGATATCTACCCTCTTAGTGTTGGCTAGGCCATTGGCAGCCAGCTTCTGATCGTTATTCGCCGACTCTGGAGCAACTCTCACCATATGCATAAGAGGATATCGATTAACTTGGTTGTGAAATGCATTCATCTTAGCACAATTAGCTACCGTGTCTTGCCGCTTCATTATCCATTTCTCTGCATCGTTCCACTTCGATGACATAGGTCTCGAGTATGACCTCGTCAGGCAATTGTGTGCTGCTGCTCTCTCCCCTTTATGAAACTCAAAGCTTGATGAACTAGCATTACTATCATAATCAAGGTTTTCATCTTCAAGCATCCTCATTGGATGGATGGCGCTGGAATTACCATTATCATTCTTTGAGCATTGCTGCAATTTAGCACAGCTCGCTTCCACGTTTTCCTGTGTCAGAGACTCCTTTGCTTGGCTAGAAATTTGATCATTTAGGCTGGAATCCAACACTATCTCATTGGACATTTTAACTGGTGAACCATCTAAGCTGGTAACTGTGTATCAATAAAATAAGTTCTAAATCAGCAAGCAAATTTTATAAAACACTTGGCTGAATTCATCAGCTCCGGGCCTAAACCAGGCCAAGCAACAAGCAGAGTCATACTAATGAGAAGTCCTTCCTCGTCGTTATAAAAATGCGAGAAAAGGGAGAGAAAGAAACAAACCTTCCTCGTCAAAATCTTCATTGTTTGAGGCTAATAGACTGTTGACAAACTCAGCATCATTAATTCTAGAAGGAGATGCTCTTGAAGAATTGTTGTTTGATCCATTATTCTTTCGATGGTGATGAGGCCCCATCAGCTTCATCCTTAATTTACTCGGTGAAATGCCACTCTGAAGTATGAAAATATGATTAAAAGCTTTAAATTTTAGAACTTTGTTTAAAACCCAGATCAGATGAAAGAAAGAAAAAAACCATTCACCACCAAAAAGCCCCTATTAACATATGAAAAAAAAATTGAAAAAAAAAAGCTTAAAGGGAGCAGGCTTACCTGAGGTTTGTCTATTCTTTCGTACTCCATTAGATCTCTCTCTGTCGGTTGCCGTCAACACTACTCGGGCTCTAAATACTACCCTTCCAAGGGAATTCTTTCTCTAATAGAGTTTCCAATGTTCAAATCATGACACTCGTTACACTTGCAACCTTCTCTATACCTTCCTCCCGTTCTGACATCGCCACGTCATCACCTCGAAGGGCCCATCTGACGTGGCCGTATCAGATCGTGATGATAAACCAAACGGACTTAAAGGAAATTAGAGGATTAAGCATAATGGGGAAAGAGTAGTAATGAAAAACAAAAGGGAGGGTAGTGATTAAATCATAGGTAAAATGATAAATGATGACAGATTGTGGGGGCTTATCAATAGAGTCTAGTCATTAAATTTAAGATGTTTTAAAGTAGCATGAAGCTGGAAATTTTGACCGATTACCTTTATGGGTGGTCCTCACTTTCCAATGGTTGACCAACGTGGACAACATTTTTTTCTCGACACGTACGCATTTTATGGAATCGGTACTGAAAATATAATTTGTAATTATAAAAGAATGGAAGAAATAAAAAAAATCTGATTGATTGAACTTTTGATGACAGTGATACTTGGAGCAATGACAAGACAAGGGTGAAACGGATGATGCAGTAGAAAGTGAGAGGAAATGTAGGGCAAATAAGGAATGTGAAAGTTGAAAGATGCTTACAGTAGTGTGAGACTCGTGATTGACATGACTTTCTTCCTAGATATCAATCAACCTTTTTTACCATCTCCGTCACAATAAAAAACAGACGCAAACTTACTTAACTAACAATACAAACACAGTGTTTGTAAGAATTAAATGATATTATTGATTAAAGGGGATTATTATTTTTAGAAGTTTCGGGTTTTATTATAATGTTTAGAGGTGAGTAAAAATCGATTCGTTTTGAAAAAATATTTTTTATTTAACTCAACTCGAAAATTAATTTTCGACTCGACTTAAATTGACTTTGAGTTATAATTTCATAAACTCGACTCGACTCAACTTGAAAAAAAATTAAAATTCAAATCGAGTTGTAAAATAGAACTTGAATAACTCAAAATTTTTAGTAATTAGTATATTGATTTTCAAGTTTTAGTTAAGTCACTCGACTCTGTATGATATATTTATCACATATAAAAAAATATGAAGAAATATATATGCATTGTTTATGGTTATAAAAAAATTAAATTGGAATCATATAATATCATAATATTAAAAATATGTATAATTGAATTTAAACATAAACTCTAAAATTCGACTGGAATCGACTCAAATTTTATCAATTCGAAATGATTCGATAGATTTTAAGTCAACTTCGAGTTATAAAATAGGACTTATCAATTCGAATAACTCAAAAAATTTATTCGACTCGTCTAAATCGGACGCTTTCCGTTAACAATGTTTATAAGAATATCTTAGCCTTCATTGTTAAATAGTAAAAGATATCGATATTATATTGTGATTATTTTAAACAAATAAAAAAGTTAAACGTTTTTATTATAAAATTAATAATAATATTTTAAAGTTTAAACTATATATGCCAAACTTAGTAATATTATAATATTATCTCTGTGTTACCCACAGCATATAAAAAAATTAGAAGATTGTTAATCAAAATCAAAACTAAAATTTTGAAAGAATTAAATGTAAAAAGGTTTATTAATTTAATTTAGTGCTTCAAGATCTACCAATATATTATTTTTTTATAAAAAATTATTTATATTTATTTAATTGCTACTTATAAATATATAATATGAAATGTATCGCGAAAGGGATATAACGAAAATTAGACGAATCTTAAAATATATATAGATGATAGAACGAGAATAACTATAAATTTTATATCTATAATGAATCAAGAGATAAAAAAAATATTTTTTTGCAAAAATAAATATAGGAGAAATACATGGCACTCACCCAATCCGATTGAGATCCCTATTTCCAACTTTGAAAAATTATACTCGTCCAGTCAATTTACACAACCCCTTGATTAAGAGACTTCTTTTTCCGCTGTTAAATATTTCTAGGTTACAAAATCCAATGCATAGAAAACCCCAGTTCATTCATAAAAAAGCCCTAGTTCCTAACTACTAAACCCCATCGTTCGCTTTCAATGATTCCAATTCCCTTTTTGCAGGTTTATATTTAAGAATTAAGGACATTAAACTCATCAACAATTCCCTAATTAAAAAAGGAAATTAATTCATTATCCATTAATTCACTGCCCTAGGAGAAAAGTTGAAGGGTCCCCTACCCTAATCTCTTATGATACGATAATTTTGATGATGGGAATCCTTCATTTTCTATAAGCTTTTAATGAATAGTTGCTCAAACTTTAAAGGTAAGTTCTCCAAAAACATTCTTTATACAATAATAAAATAATGGGTGTACGTGGGGCTGCGTGAATTAATAGTGGGTGTTGATATCTATTCACATGTAATGTTCTCTTTGTCACACTCACTGATCCGTGTTCTTTTTGTATTTTAGGGAATTGCCATTGGCATAGACGTCCTCGGTAGGCTTCATATCATAGCCCCCTTGATTGAAGATGGGTTGAATCTTGGTGTAAAATTTTTGTGACGAATCCCCATTGCTCATGATTTATTAATTATTCAAGTCTTAATCACAATTTTCTAGATACAATGAATTTGATTTTTATAAATTTAGTGACGGACATATGTTTTTGTGTTGAAGACGAATTTATAAAATTTTAAGGAGATATAAACTTATAAAATTTTTGAGGAGGTGAAAATAGATTTTCACTAAATAATATAAAAAATATCTAAAATACAAGATTTTGAAATTTTTGAGGATGACTATCCACACATCCCATACTCCATCCCATTGGTTTGTTGTACATTTTGTTTGGATCTTCCAAAGAATTATTGTTCAAACAGTGAGGAACGTTTTGTTTTGTGGGGGCTCATTAGATAGGAATGTGCCCAACTGCCAACTTTAATGACATATTGTAAACAAAAAGCCATTGAATACGGCTTGAGATAGGCCTCTAATTGTGCCTTTGAAAACGATGTTATTTCTGATGTGTGCGAGTGATTATACAAAACAAATTAACAAAGGCCGGCAGCGGTCTCTTGTGGTTAGTTTATAGTTTCTAATAATTAATTGGATTTGATTAAAATTTATTTATTTTATATTTAATTTTTGGTTGTCCTTTCGGTTCTTATTAATCCAGATTGATCCGGATCGCACATCTGACCTTGGTGGGTGAGTCTCGCAACGGGGATTTTCTGCATACATAAAGACTCAAACTCAAGACTTGTTTAAGCGATATCAAACTGTTTACCACTTGAACCAGCTTTATTGGTATTTTATATTTATTATAATATGAAAATTATTTGATTTAAATTTTAATTTATATACACTTTTTTATTTTAATATTATGTATATTGTTTAGATGGAAATATGATTCACAAGTCTGATAAATGGTTGAAAAATTTTGGTCAAATAACTTGCATTTTATTTATTTAGGGTGGCAGGACAGTCCACATTTTTCATACATTTGTCCATATGTTTCATGAGAAGTATCCTAACCTTGTCAATATTTCTCAACTAATTGCTGAAACTTTAGACCAGCCAGGCATTCCGTAGACTTTCAGCCTAACGTGAACACGTGCAGAGAGGAACAGCTCTTCTTAAAACTTGATTTCGCTTTTGAAATTCCATTGAATGTGGACCTGGCAATGCGGGGAATACTAACTTGTATTCGTTCATTAAAAATCAAAGAAACACTGCTTGATTTGATGCATGTGACAATCTAGCTAGGAGATGGTTAGGATGCGCAGTTGAAATTCAAGAGCTGCAACTGGACGTGCATACGAATACATTGAAGGATCTTAATACTAACAAGTTGTTCAAACTAGTAATCAGCTTAATATCATTTAAATGTGTCTCGAATTCGAAATCTTGTGTATGTAGAAAATACTTGTTGAGAGACTCATCCATTAAAATCATGTGTGAAAACAAATCAATTCGAATTAGTTAGAACAAAACCCAAAAAATTGAGAGGACAATAAAAAAAATCTTAATCATATAATAGAGTATTGTTTTACTCTATATAATTTAAAGGAAATTTAAAGTTCCTTGACGTATGTTAAACTAGAGGGAATACCTTTCACATCTCCATGTGGTTAACATTGGCTCTTCAGTAATTCAATTGCTTGACAAATAATAACAAACTCCATTTTATCTATTGGGCCCCCATCTTGAGGGTGCATTTGTCATGGTCCGTGCATAGTGGCCCATACTTAATGCGTGTACTGCTCATTCAAGTTGTTCATACGGATAATTTTTTTTTTGGATAAATCAATCAGTTTTATATCCAAAAGAGCAGTAAACTGCTCAAAATACAGAAAGTTCTTACATAAAAATATCAATACTTACAACACTATACAACAGAACATAAACATCAATGTTCGATACCCCATTGATTATAAAGAGTATTATTGACATAATCATTTTTATTTATTTCTCTACCCTTAAGTTGAATAGCAATAGAGTCTTTAATAGCAAGGAGTAAGGCATTAACATTTCTTGAGCGTCCTTGGTAAATTCTCTTATTTCTCTCCTCCCAAATAATGTAAGTAAAAGTAGTCCAAGCTAGCTTCATAATAGTAGTGAGCGGTGATTTTCCTTTCCATGAAGCACAAGCCCATGAAATGTGAGCATTCCATGAACAAGTTCCTCTGCAAATGCCATTAAGATGCAGAACAGAGTTCCAAACAGATTTTGCCACAGAACAATGTAGAAACAAGTGGTCTCTAGTTTCCGTCTATTCATTACAAAGCACACAAATACCGTCAATGTTTAACCCCATTCGAATTAACCTATTTTTGGTTGGTAATCTGTCAAGGAAAGCCATCCAAGTAATAATACTATACTTAGGAACATGAAGAGGAAACCAAAATAGTTTATGCCAAGTAACCTTATCGTCTTTGTTACGGATGTGATGCCATATGTCCTTGATTGATTGAGTTCCAGAAGCAAAATTGGAGGCAGCCTGATTCCTCATACTTAGCAGTTTAAGAAAGCTCCAACTTATATTGATCCTAGCCTCCATAGTCCAAAAATCAGAGTTCTTATTTGGACTTCCTATTTGATCCGTTTTCAACCTAAAGCATATACAGGAGCTAAGATGCTTGAAAGTGGATATAAAAGTGCAATCGTAAGGTGATTTGTTTGTTGCACAAAAACAAGTTCCGAAAAAAAAATAGTAAAAAATTTAAGTAAAATAAAAATAATTGAATTGAATAAAAGGAAAATAAAATGAAATAAAAAATTATTTACTTCTCGATATAAAACCGAATGAACATAATCGTAAGGCTTATTTACACGATTTTCTTAAGACAAATTTTATCTCTTCATTGAGTGACTTACCCACAATTGTGCAGGTGCATCCCCAAATTTGGACTAATTTGGTTTATACGCATAAATACTTTTTAAGCTTGTATCCTTATTTTCTATTTTTCTTCAACACAATTTACTAGTAGTTTACTTTAAGCATTAATTTATCATTCACTATTTAATCATTTTGAGCATATGATATATCGTTGTAAAAATTTTATAGAATAAAATATAAAACCATAATTTTATGATTCGTATCTTCATTTTTACCCGTTAAAAATATGCCTCAAAGTTTTAAAAAAATATCTATTTTCCAACATTGTTTACATGAGAAACTTTCATACGAAGGATGCTACGATATAACCTTATGATGGAAACACAGTCTTGGCATGTAACAAATGAAGTCTCTGGATCTTCAGAGGTTCGTGCATAGCGTGGCGTACATGATATTTTTAAGGCCACGACCATGAAAAGTACTCGAGTTTGTCACGAGGGATCCATCATCCATATACAGCTAGCCAACCATATTTTCAGAGATTTGCAGAGGATTTGGTTTAAACAAGACCGACACTGCTCCACTCCTGACATGTCAGTGATGCATTGTGAGCTATCATATTAAGACACTAAAATACTATAGGACTTCGTTGTTTGCAAACTACACTTTGAAGACACGTCCCCTCCCTGGTGTAAGGGACTCAAACAATCTGGAAAGACCAAATAAAAAAAATATAGAACTGCAAAAATGAAAGGTGGGGCTTTTCAGTTTTCATTCTCTTTTACTGTATAATTTCAAATGGATTTTATAAAATAAATAAATAAATAAAGAGGTATCTTATGTCGAAAGGCACCATATGGAACCTTCTAACATGTCTGCTTCATGGCCGACCCATCCAGCTGCCAAAGATTCATCTCCTTTTGATGTGTTTAATGGAATTTTATATCCCTTGTGGATTTCATTCTTCCGAGTTGTGACAGGACCTGGCGTGCTTTTTTGGCTCTTCGATTGTTTGACTTGCAAAAGCCAAAAACATTGAAAATGGAATCTTTTAATGGTGAAATAGAGTGGAGTTCTGTAGATCCCGTGTTAGGTTCGAGTTATTTACATATAATGCAGTCCTTTATAGCATCATTTACATAAAATATCGACAGAAAGACAATTTCTATTGTTAAAAGTTTGAGATAATTATACAAGAGGGAGTGAGAAGTTCTCTGGACAAAATTTATATACCATTTATATAAAATGGAATCGCTAGAATTTGAAGAAATATTTCGAGATATATCAAGACTCAGGGTTTTATAGACAATAGTTGAGTCTAAGTTCAGAATTTATTTCTTCTTCTGATAACGATGATCCATGTAAAACCATGCATGGTGAAAACAAGCAAATTTGCAGAAGCAAGTGGTCCTCAAACCAACAAGCTTTGAACTTTTACTATAATCTCTGCTCATATCATTCAGTGCTCATTTTTTGGTGCACCGATGAAAGAAACCGAATGGTTTTTTTATACATGAATGATTAAAATAATACACTCTCGCTTTCACCTTATCTTATTTATTTTCACTTTTTGGTTCCGTTGGAATAGAGATGTTCCCTTCCCTCACCTTTGGACCATAACAGCTCAACACCGAAAGCAAACCAAGAGTGGTGCATTTGTTGTTAACTTAACTGGATTATTCGACATTCAATTTGCGCCCCCCAACTTTTTTTTTTTGGTTATATCTTGGCACCTTTCCCTTTTTTAATTTGGTTCAACGCCAAACAGTGTTAGTTATGGGGGTGATTAATGATTTTTATGGTTTTGGGATGAAGACTTTGATGATGACTTGTGTTGGAAAGTAGAAGGATTTGAGGCAAAAAGCTTTCGATAGTCATCAACTTAAGAGCATGCATTGTCTGATATACTCTTATCAACCCATCCTTCACCAGCATTTCTTTCTTTTTTCATTTTCAAATCTAATCCAAGCTTACATCAGGCAACGCTATATCCTTCAACCATTTCAACAAACAGCTGGAATAATTAGACAAATGATTTCTCTCTAAAATTAAGAAAATGTTCTTCTTTTCATTATTGAATCTTTAATTTCATCTTAAATTATCTTCTCTTTTCTTATATATACATAAAAAATAATATATATTAAAACAAATTATATTTAGCGATTTATTTGGGTGTTAAATGGAGGAATGTCAATGGATTAGTTGGTATCAATTAATAGTTAACTATTTATTTAAAAATACAAGGATTTTACTACAAAAAGACGTAAAATTCCTTTTTTTTTGGGGATTTTGACCAAAATACTTATCTATCATAATATATGCTATAATTAATAGTGTCCACTTACCAGCTTTATTTTTTTTAACTTTTTAACTTCAATAATCATAATTTGCTTTCCCCTCATTTCAAAATAAAAATCGTATAAATGAACAATTTTTTTAAAAAAATTATACATGTCCCTTTTAAAATATATTATATACACACCAATACAAAGAACAGTCTTATAAATTTAAATATTCCTATTTTCCCTTTATTTCTGGATAAAATGCAGCAACTTTACAACAAAAAGAGAGAAAAGAGGTTAAAAAATAATTTCATGGTGGGGACTCAAAAACCACAATTAAAAGGAGCAAGCTTTTCCAGGCAAGCAGGCGTGTATGTGCCTCTACTTTCATCATCATAAAAGCTTTAAAAATATACAACAAAATTAATTATTTTTTTTAAAAGCTACTTTTCTTTTTTAAAAAAAATTCAAGTCAGCTCTTAGTCTTATCAGTTTCACTTATATATATATATATATATATATATATATATATATATATATATATACATGCAAGTAATCATCTTTTGCAAACCCAGAACTGAAATTTCTTCATTTTTTTTTCATTTTTGTTCTTGCAAAATCTGTCTCCAAGTTAAATGGACGAATCTCGGCGAATGTGCATGGGAATGTCAACTACCCAATCTCTTCCTCGACGAAATTCTATGGAAAATTCCATTTTTTCAATGAACCGTGTCACCATGGAGATGCATGATCACAATCTCGATGTAGATGACTTCTCTGACGTCTTCGGCGGCCCACCACGGAGTGTTCTTTGCCGGAAGTTGTCCGGCGACTTCACCCGGTCGACATCCTTTTACGAAGAGGTTTTCCACCCACCGGAGTTCATTGCATCTCGTTCAATGAAGGACGGCAGGAGTCTACCCCCGTTTAAGATTCCGGCGAGAGAGGAAGGGTTCTACAGTGACATTTTTGGGTCGGTTGATGATCATTTGCGGTGGAGGGAGAGGTCAAGGTCGAATTCGAAGGCGAAGTCAAACTCATCGTCGGTGCTGAGTTCCGAGGAGCTGAGCCCTCTCCGGCCGGTGGTAGGAGATGATGTTGGTTTGTCGTCTTTTGCTTCAAAGCTCAGGTAGTCTAATAAGTTTTTATTTTTATTTTTTATATTTGTTAAATTACGTTAAAGGATAGTGAAGAAGATTTGAAAAATCGTTTGTATTTGGAGGTGCAGGCCAATTAATGTTCCATGCAGATGGAACTCAACAACAATGGTGGCAGATGAGGAAGCTGCAAGGCAACAAGGGATGCCGGCATTTCCAAGCAGCCGTTCTTTCTATAACAAAAATCTTTACGTGGAAAACGAATACGAAAACTTGATGAGAAGCTCATCAAATAATCATGGATTCAGTCGTCGTGCAACTTCCCCAGAAATTATAAGCTTGGAACTCCATTCTTTTCGAAGTGTCAAATTATCAGCCGATGATTTTGAGTTCAATTCTCCTTCTTCCCCTGCCTCTTCACTTTGTCATGAACCAGTCAGAGCGCCTGGTGATTCATTGCATCAAGAAGAAGAAGATGAAGTTATGAGTTCCTATTTCATTGAGATCAATTCTGATCTTAGAGAGAGTAGTGGTGAAGCAGTTTCGATCGATGAAGCGATTGCTTGGGCGAAGGAAAGATACAATACTCGAACTACTTCTGAGAAAACCCAGTCAACTGAAACCGAAGGTGGGTTTGTGAATTATATTTTAGTTTTTAACTGAAATATTTATGATGAAAGCTCACTTAGATGGATAAAATAATAAAATTTCTGTATGTGATTTGCAGGAAGGTCTACTTCACATGAATCATTTGACCTTCAAATGGATGGCCATGGAACAATGCAATCTCCAAAGGTAAATTAGTAGCCTTTTCCTCTGTTTATCGTCTTCAGAAGCAAAATTTCATTGTTACAGATATAAAAAAGGTTTGCTAATATGTTTTCCTTTTTGACTTCTTAATTTGCAGGAAGATGAAGAAAAGAAATCGAAAGCAAAAGGAGAAAAAGAGATATCAGAAGAACATGTAAGCTAGAGCCATTGTAGCTTATTTCTGTGGATTAGTATGACCAAGATTTGATCAACATGTACTTTTTCCTTCTACGAAACTGCAGATTAAAATGGATATTATGGATGATGAAGTAAAGCTTTGGTCATCCGGGAATGAAAATAACATGCAATTTCTCCTTTCAACACTTCATCAAGTAAGATACTAATCTTTCCCAAGTTTCAAGGATTCCATTGATTTGCAGGCGAGATACCAACTTTATTTTTTCATTGGTTGAAAATGAATTCAGATTCTATGGCCAAGTAGTGGTTGGAACATGATCCCATTAACAAGTCTTAACGAAAGCTCACAAGTGAAAAAAGCTTATCAGAAAGCTAGGCTATGTCTTCACCCAGACAAATTGCAACAAAGAGGTGCAACCCTTTCACAAAAATATGTTGCAGAGAAGGCCTTCACCGTCCTCCAGGTAACACCAATAAATTTTCCCAAAGAACAGTACAAAATCATTGTAAACTTTAACCTGAATTCAAGTGTTAACTTGATGTTACATGACTCTAGGATGCATGGGCTGCTTTCATCTCCCAAGATGTCTTCTTCAACTAGTCCAAAACTCCGGGGATCTCGTAACCTTTCTGGGAAACTTGATACAAACAAAGAGTCCCTGGATTGAGAAGATTGAGGGGTCTGTTTAAAGGCCTGTTATGGTTAGAACTGAAATTATATATATGTACATGCAAGAATTTTGTATGTTTGTTTGATGCCTACATTCTACCTTTCTAATTCATCCACCACGATATAATAACCATAAAATCAATTCAAGTTCTATTTGAAAGAAAATAATTTGAAGAATTATACAAGATTTCATCCTATTCCTATGGTTCTCTATTTCTTCTGACCGGGAAACCCTTCTAAGAGCAACCCTGAGAACAGGGTTTTGACCATAATGACTCAGTTGACAAATTTGCAAGGAAAAAAATCTGAGAATGTTCTTTGATATTCCCTTCCTGACTCAGTTTAATCATGGCTGACTGCAGATATTTTTTTACTGTTTTTATTCTGCTAGAACAGGTTTTATGTTTATGTGTTTGAACCTATTTAAATCTGAACTATTATGCTACTCTGCTCACCCATTATGGACAGCGTTTCAATCAAAATCCAGAAACAAGTTGGCAGACGACGACGAAAATCAATGACCTAATTGTACTCGTCAATTACATAGAAAATGGATCTATCCGGATACATACATACAGTAAATGAGGACCCTCACAAATGTGAATGAATTATGATGATGATGATTATTATTATTATTACAAAAGCCAAGTTTCATCTTCAGTTCTAGGAGAGTGAAAACAAGTGGTAAAGACAAGAGAACAGGATTTTTCCTGGGAGTCTCAAAAATCCTAGAAAGTTAGAAACTACCCTAGACATATCGGGGTGTCGAACTCTGATAGAAACACAGAATAATGTTATTACATGTCAAAGCCATTGATTTCCTTATACTATCTTCGTGCCTTTCTCAGGAGGATCTCTCTTGAACTTGTTCTAGTAAGATGATCCAAAATCCAATTCATACTAGGATTACAAGGAGAAAGATGCATGATTTAAAGGGGGGATGAAACCATTACTTTTACCAAGTGACTTGCTTACCGATTATCAGTGGCAGATCTAAACTTTGAAGGATGAACACACATGTATTAGTAACACAAAATTTTTATACATGTGAGCATAGTAAACAAAATAAGTAGATAATCGAAGAAAATTCAAATTTTAAAAGACACTAAATTTGTCATAAATCTGCCACCACCGGTTATTGCATTTGTCTTTACACTACATGTTTGACCATCGAGGTTGCAGGTGACTTTTATGCATAGAATGCATACGATACAGGGTGCTTTCTACCCAGACTTCGGTAATCCTCATGAATAAGAAAATAGTGAATTAGTAGTGAAAATGAGGGGTTAGTGTAAGAGTATTAAGCAGATAAAAAGGTACATGTAACCTTCATTTCCAATTTTAGAAGCTCTCCATCCAAATGCCTCATCAAAACATGCTTGTCATGATCATGTATAAATTCATATATAGCAACCAAGTAAATTTTAGTGGAAGATTTTCACAATCTTTTTTGGACAAATAAAAATAAAATTATGTATTCATCTAAAGAGAAGCAATATAATTCTTACTACAAAAAATAACCATATCTGCACAAATATTACATCCAATTCTATATCAAACCCCTATGTGCATCATAATTAAAAACAATATTTAGAAATGATTAGAAATAATTTTAATTTTAAATTATCAATTTTTTTTAAAATGATAAATCAGTAAAACTATTAATTTCCAATAAATTGAATTTTTAATGGATTATCAAACAGTACTGAGTAGACATACCTTTTTATTTTTTTTATAAATTTATATAAAATTATTAAAAATAAAATTAATTTCACCTTAAAAAATATTTTATACTTTTTTAAAAAAAATAATACCGTTTCTATTTCTTTAATTCCATGCATGAAATTTATAATGAATATCGAAACTTAACATTTAAAATTTTAAAAGTATTTATTAAAAATAATTAAACTAAAATAAAACTATTAAATTCAACACAAAAATTTGTGTTAGAAGTGAGAATATAAAAAACTATATTAAAAATTTAGAGGGAACTAGATTATAAAATTTTAAGAAATATGAAATTAAATTATTTATATAAAATACATAACAAATACCTAATATATAAAATAATTTAAATTTTCCGGTCTGCCGGTCCATCCCTGATTAAATTCACAACCTTTTAAATTCAGGCAATGGACTTGAACCAGATCAGAACTTAGGAGCATTAAGTCAAACCCTCTTCTTTCCCCTGCGTCTAAAACCGTTGTTCTGAGATACACAGTTTAGGGTTTGTGTGTGTGTGTGTTTTTAAATCGATTCAGAAAAGAAAAGAATGATGGAAGTGAAGAAAAAAAGTACCCCGATTCTTCCATGGATGCGAAGCCCAATTGACGTGAGTCAGTTTGAAGATTGCCCTCTCAATCTTGTCCCTTGTCTTGACCCCAGGTTAGAAGTTATTTCCTTTTTTTCATCGTTTTTAAGTTTTGACTTTCATTACACAAATTGTCTTGGATGTCGAGTTATTTTCGAAGATTAACGAGTTTTATTACCAAAATTTCTTGCAAGTTAGGTTGGAGGTGGCTCTAGAGAAAATGGGATTCTCTTCACTCTTCCCAGTGCAAGTTGCAGTTTGGCAAGAGACAATAGGGCCTGGTTCTTTCGAGCGAGATCTCTGCATAAATTCACCGACAGGAAGTGGAAAGACTTTAGCTTACGCTTTGCCCATTGTGCAAAAGTTGTCGAGTCGTTCTGTTAAATGTCTACGGGCTTTGGTAGTATTACCTACACGTGACTTGGCGTTGCAGGTGAATTTCCTATGCTTATATAACGATTCCCATTTTGCTTGTTCCGTCTCTCTGCCTCGAGCAACCGTGAGAGGTAAGTAACAGTACATAGCTGCAGGTGAATTGTGATTGTTGAACTGTTTGTAAAGAACTAAAATTCCCTTTCAGATTTTTTTTTACAATGGCATGAACTATCAGTTATGCTTTTTCTTTGGTCATTTGGATCCTCCTTTTCGGAAGGTACTCTGTCTAGGATTAACATGTCGGGTTTTACATCGTTTCTTCAGGTTAAGGAAGTTTTTGCAGCCATTGCACCTGCAGTAGGTTTATCTGTTGGTTTAGCAGTGGGTCAGTCTTCGATTGCTGATGAAATAGCGCAGCTTATAAAGAGACCTAAGCTTGAGGCAGGAATGTGTTATGACCCAGAAGATGTGACATTCGAACTGCAAAGTTCAGTGGATATTTTGGTGGCAACCCCAGGCAGGCTTATGGACCATATCAACTCCACAAAGGGATTTACACTTGAGCATCTCTGTTACCTTGTAAGTAGTGGACTACTTGTATGCAGTGTAAAATATTACCGGACTATGACTCAATTTCAATTGGTATTTTTAGAATGTTTGTTACTTAACATTGTCCATGGGATGTAATACAAAACATTTTACCGGTGACCTGACTGATACTTGACAGTTTCACTGCAAGGTTTTGCTAGAGGTGGTATGAAATTAATACTGAAATGGATTTAAGTGATTAGGTCTTTATACGTGTTTCAGTTATGCTACAAACACATGGGACTCTTTCTTCACTGATATAAACCATGCCTTTGATAGCTGCAAATATTTTTCTTTTATTTTTTTGAAGAACCTGTAAAATTTGTATCCTACAGATGCACATGGACTTCATTAATTTTATGCGTGACTCCTAATTGTGGGAGTCATTTTTATCTGGTAATACAATGGCTTCTGCTTATAAGGGGAAAGGAGACTATCTAATAAGACTTTAGTTTTGAGTCAATTGCTTTTGTGGTTAATAAATGCTGATGGCTAAATTATTTCAGGTAGTTGATGAAACAGATCGGCTGCTCAGAGAATCATACCAATCTTGGCTGCCAACTGTACTCCAGTTGACACAATCTAATGATGAAAGCCTCTTTCCTCTTGATAATTCGTTTATTTCGTCTACCTTTGGTTCCTTAAAAACCATAAGGAGATTGTAAGTTCTATGTTCAGTGTCATTTCTTAATAATCAATGATGTTTTCTGTTTAGCAATGAATTTTTTTCTATAAGATGTGCATTAGACACATTGACGTGCATTTATATACTGCCATACCTATATATATATATATATATATATATATATATATATATATACGGGAACTAGCTTTCCCGCTGGGTTGAATGTTTGAAAGATAGTTTGATGGGATTAGGCATGTTTTTATTAGCCTTAAAAAATCTCTTCTTTTCGAAGAGCAGTTTACCAACTTTCTCTGAAAAATGTAGGACTGAGAAAAAGAAGAAGAAGAAATATTACAACCAGCATGTTCTGGAATAAACACTTTACAACCCTTTACCTTTTACTTTAATTATACGGTTTCTGAAAAATATTTGGTAAAATTGTGTAAAGTGGTCTTGTCCTGCATATCTATAAATGTTTGAAACCACCTCCATTGGTGTCTTTGGAACTGTTATTGTTGAAAATAGTAAATAAGTTCCTTGACCAAATTATTGAAAGTGTATCATCCTTGGAATAATTATATGTTCAAAATATTTCTCGAGATATTTGATATGGTTTGAAGGAGCATAGAATCTTTTTTTATATATAATTATCCCCATCAGTCATAATTTTATTACATATCTGCTGCAGCGGTGTCGAAAGGGGGTTCAAGGGTAAATCTCACCCTAGGCTTGTGAAGATGGTTTTATCTGCCACCTTAACCCAAGATCCAAGCAAGCTTGCTCAGCTTAATCTCCATCACCCTTTGCTGATAACAACAGGGAAAAGACGTTACCAGCTCCCGGAAAAATTGGAATCATACAAACTTGTATGCTTCAGTAACTCTTCTTGTGAATATATGCATTTTGGTTGTTGTGATTCTATTAATGTTTTCATGAGCTCAAACATTCACAAATTCCTTCCTGTTTTTCATACTTAATTATAATATAGGGTTTTAGGTTACTTTCAGGAATTATTTTCCTTTGGCTAAAGCTTGCTTAAAGTTCTTCATCGGTTGTGAAATTTCAAGTTTTAGCTATTCATGTACAATCCTTTTCCTGCTTTGAATTCTGAAATATTTTCAAATCAAGATGTCTTGTTCGCATAAGTTATAAATATATCGCATTTACTTGTAAGGAAATTTTCAGTTGAATCAATAACATCAAATACTGGTGCAAATTTTGGAGGTTTCAAGTTTAGTTTCTA